TTTCCCACAGGTCAGGGGAAATGTGGTGATATCCATAGGGATGTAGAAAGAAGCAAGTGGGGTGGACTGGGAATCAGCTAGTGTCTGGGAGTCCAGAAGGGCACAGCAGAGAGTCAGGTCTCCAATCCATCACTTTCCCAGGCACCCCAAAATTCCACATTTATGCTAGTGCGAAATTCTAATTCCACTTAGCCATGTGATCCCATTCATATTTCTGTGAATCTCTATCAGTTCACTCTCTTTCATATGAACAGAGAAGACTCCAGTCTTGCTTGCTGTTATTCATTCTCTTTTGCTATGTTCTCAACAAGATAACCTTTAGATGAGTAACTTTTTATTTATCTTCATACCCAGAAGGGCTAGAAATAGCTTAAATGAAAGCTTCAGTTGTGAAGGATACCGCCCAATCTGTGCAAAACCCCTACTGTCACAATTCCGTCCAAATTTTTGTGAATGAAGAGGATCACCCTCTCTGCTCATCGTTCCTTCCTCTCTTCTGTAAAACTCAAAGTGCATGGAAGGATGGCCAATTTACTTAATAGTCTTTTGGAAATTGTCCAGTGGTGTGGCTGTTTTATTGGAGCCACAGGAGGTCCTGTTTCTATAGACTATTTTCCCCTGGAACATCCTTTTCCCCAGGATTTTTTTTTCTCGTCTTTGTGGAGCAATATTTATTAACCAGGACAACAGCTATTAGGCAGAGAGTTGCTTGATTGCTGAGGAAGACAAAAAACAACCCCTATAAAAGAAAGCATTGTTTTGAGAGCACCCTTGCTTGTTGAAAAGGCCTTGCTACACAACATACCAACCTGAATACTTGTGAAGTATTTTGAAGCAATTTTCCATTATTGGGTAATTAATTATTTTAACTACCCTTTTTATCCAATAGCTCTGCTATACTGTTATGTAAAGAAATTATGTAATGTCTGGAGCTTTCTTCATAATTCTTCATTTTTATCAATAAGGCTGAATCAGCATTAAGGACTCTACATCATGGACAACAAAGGAAGAGAAAACAGATGGTCCTGGGTTGCTAAGCAACATTATAAAAAGATGAAAGCAACCACAAAGTTCTATTTAGGTCCTGTGAAACCTCATGCAGTAAACACCCACTCCTTTGATCTTATTTAACCATGATGATGCCTTTATCATCCCCTATTGTTAAGAAGAAAAAGTTTAGCTGAACAGATAAAAGGGGGAGTAGTCAGCTTTTTTGAGAACTAGAGATTTATGATGGCAGCCTAAATAGGTAGAAAGGACAGCACATATTATAATGGTGCCCTTTGGCACAACTACAATTAAGCCTCTGTCACATATTCTATTATATTGTGTCCAATCTCCCCCCTCCTCCCCCTGCCTTATAACATAGCTATAATAACTGTAGTTACAAAACAGAAATCTGTATGCACTGTTGTTGTAGCCATGTTGGTCCCAGGATATTAGAGAGACGAGGTGGGTGAGGTAATGATGACTGATCGATCAGTCAAAATAGTCTCCTTTTTAGGAGCTATTGGAAAGCAGACAAGCTAGTAACACTTTGCAGAAATGGTTTATGTGGTACCATAAATATCTCATTTACTGTTTTTTTTATAGTGCTTTGTTGGCTGTATGGTTTGTTGCTTTTCAAGGTAACTCAGTACAATAAGTGCACATTGTAAAACATTATAGAAAGGAAATTTTACATATGCTAATGACGTCTATTAAAGGCCCATTTGACTAGTAGCTGCAGGTATAGACTACTAAACTGCCTGCTTGAACAGCATGAGATCCCGAATATTCATTATATGTAGGATTGTCTGCATAGCTGCACAGGCAGATATTGATACCCAAATAAAAAAGATCCTCTAAACTCATTTTCCTGCTATTACAATCTTTCCATATAAATGAGTTCTATTTGATTTGACAAATGTGTATGTGATGTAACTTGCTTTCTAAGCAAAATGACCTGTCTTCAATATATTTAAAGTATTCTTCAATGTCACTGCCTGGAAGATTTAAATATGAATATTTTTTGGATAAGTGCACTACAGTACATAGGTAATTTTTTTTTTAATGCGGAGCCATATCAATAAACTGAAGTAAAGGATTTTGCACCTTTAAATACTCTTTGACTTCTGAGAACAGAAAGGTTCAAAAGGACTCATTAAGGAGTATTGTTTGAGAGGTACATAGATTTTATATTCAGTCATGTCAATGAACCATAAATTAAGGTTTCCCAAAGAGTGCATTAAAACGAATGAACCATTAAAATAAATTGTGTAAGGCAATGGGAGTATTTAACTCTAATAAAGTGTGGTATTCCCTATGCTTAGAGTGGGAAATATTGCTAATGCTATGGTAAATTTAACTACTGTGGATGGTAAACATCCACTTTTTAAGGGTGCCTGTAAAAGGAATTCAGTTGGTGCCTGATTTTCAAATTTAGGTATGTGCAGTTGTACACTTAAAACCAACAAACCCCGGCAGGTGTAATCAAACCTGGGACCTCTGGAGCTACATGCATGAGCTAAAAGCCATGTGGCCCTTAGCTAAGGCTGTAGAGCAAACTCATTAATCTCTCTCTAAGTGGTCTCGGTGCCACTAGATGGGACAGAGCACCACACCCGGGAGATGTGTGGGTTATATACACATAGATTTGTATGTGCCTAGACATAAGTCATTTATTTACACAAAGTTATGTCAAGTTATGTGCAGGCATAAATACCTGATGTGCACATATACATTCAATATGTATTTACTAGGTGTGTATCATTACTGTATTTCGGTGTAGCAGTTCTTATGTTCTGAAAATGTATTTAAAGCCACAGCTATGTAACATTTATTTTTTAGAAAAATTGGGACATATTTCAAGAAGTATTTGTAAATCTCTTTTATGCATCTTTTGAACCATGCTCTTGTTATGCATGCACAATCTGTCATCCCAACAAGAATCCCTGCTGTAAAGCTGTCTGGGGACTACATGAGACTGGTAGACAGGGAAGACTAAAACTGTGTAAACAATTTTCGGAGTGGGAAAGGGAATATCCCAGTAAAATCGTTAACTGGCAACTCTGCTTTGTTTATTATAGGCTTCACTTATTAGTGGTGTGTATTTTATTATGCATTTTTATAAAGTTAAGCAGATGTGTTGACAACAAATTATTTTCCTACATAACTGTTAAAAAAGAGGGTGATATTTTAAACTTAAAACCAGAAACCTAAATGTATCTATATGCATATTTCTGCTTAAAACAGAGATGGTCTAAATATCCATGCCACCTCCAACTTCCATGGTTTGGATATAAAGGAATCCAGATCCAAACCAAACTTGCTTTGGTTTTGAAACCGAAAACCCATACTCTCAGCCCACCTCTGTGAAACATCAACTTCAGTCATTCTTTTGCAGTTGTGCTATAAAGAACATACTTGGGCAGACCAATGGTCCATCTAACCAAGTATCCTGTCTTCTGACAGTGGCTGCTTCATAGAATATCAGGGTTGGGAGGTCATCTAGTCTAATTCCTTGCTTGAAGCAGGACTAATCCCTAGACAGATTTTTGCCCCAGACCTCTAAATGGCCCCTTTAAGGATTGAACTCACAACCCTGTGTTTAGGGGGCCAATGCTCAAACCTCTGAGCTATCCCCCCCTTCAGAGGGAATGAACAGAACAGAGCAATTTATTGAGTGATCCATCCCTTGTCATCCAGTCCCAGCTTCTGGCAGTCAGACATTAAGGGACACACACAGCATGGGGTTGTACCCCTGACCATCTTGGCTAATAGCCATTGATGGACCTATCCCCCATGAACTTACCCAGTTCTTTTTTAAAACCCAAGTTCCACCGGTTGATTGTGCGTTGTGTGAAGAAGTACTTCCTTATATTTGTATTAAAGCTACTACCTATTAATTGCCTTGAGTGACCCCTGGTTCGTGTGTTATGTGAACAGGTAAATAACACTTCCTTGTTCATAGGCACTGACTGTGTGAGTGCTCCAAGGCTGGCGGACCCATGGGAAAAAGTTAGCAGGTGCTTAACCCACAGGCAGCCAAGCTGTGTCCTTATTCGCTTTCTCCACATCATTCATAATTTTATAGACCTCTATCATATCCCCCCTTAGTTATCTCTTTTCCAAACTGAACAGTCCCAGTCCTTTTAATCTCTCCTCCTAGGAAGCTGTTTCATAACCCCAATCATTTTTATTGCCATTCTCTATATTCTCCCCCTTCCCCCCCCCCATTTTAGTGTCTTTTTTGAGATGGTGCAACCTACCCTTTGTTTCCTATCTTTTAATTGGAGTGCCTGGCAATGCTTTCAGGATCATCTAATGATCCTTAATTTAATTTAATGACAAGCCTTTTATTATCGTAATCACCCTGCCTCTGTTTATAAACAAACTCCCTGCCCCAGCCCCGCGCACTGGGGTAGCATCAGGCTCACCAGCAGCTGTCCCTGGCCGCGCTAGTGTGTGCAAGCGGCTTGCATGCCCCAGGACAGGAGACGTAGACCGCTGTGTGGAAAGGACTCATGTCCCAGAGTGTGCTAACCGCTTGCACACACGAGCAGGACCAGGGATAGCTACCAGTGAGTCTGGTGCCCGCCCCAGTGGGCAGGGCTAGGGGTGGGGCTGTGAGTGGAACAGCCATGCCGGTGGAGCTACCAGTGCAGGGCACTGGCTCCTGGGACTGGAGGCCTGACATGCTGCTGCTTTTGCTGGTAGAGCCCTGCAGCTCCGCAGATACTTATTTATATCCGCGGATATCTGCATCTGCGGACGTAAATTTTGTATCCACACTGGGCTCTTACTCTTCTTACTCTTCCTTTCATTGGACAATACTTTTATAAATCTCAGAATGTAAAGTAAGCTTCATAGTCTGATCCCATTTGCCAGGTGGGGCCTAAAAATCTTCTATTGTCTGCAGTAGACTTTGACTCATGCCCATAGAACACAAACTGGATAGGTTGATTTAAATGGTTCATCCATGCAGAGACTTAGAACAATGAGTTGTTATTTCTTTCCAGTTGATGGAGGTTGGTCTTGTTGGTCATCATGGTCAAAGTGCTCAGCAACTTGTGGAGGTGGACATTACATGAGGACCCGCTCATGCACAAACCCAGCCCCAGCCTATGGAGGGGACATCTGCCTTGGACTTCACACTGAAGAAGCACTTTGCAACACACAACCCTGTCCAGGTACAACAAATTCATACAGTACTGCTTTGCTTTGAGTATACCATAGAATGGGGTGGCTATCATTCAACCTGTTCAGTAAAGTTCATTATGCCTTTATCAACCTATTAAACATGTAAGAACAAATTCTTTCTGTCCTCTGGTACATGCACATCAGCTTACAATGAATTTGCTGTGAATGTACATCTAAGGGCAGTATTTGGCCCACAGGAGATAGCCCTAGTGTCATGTTAAAATAATTTTTTAGAGGCTATCAGTTTAGTTACCAGGTTTCAGGTCAATGTAGTTTAAAATGGTGTAGTTCTGCACACAAAAGATTGATGCCTTAAGAGATTTGTAGCTATAATAGTGCAACAAACACTTGTAGTACTGGGTGTTGTAGGGCAAGCAAATGTTCGGAGGCTCTAGATCCTCAGCTGATGTAAATCAATGTAATACTGAAGACTTCAATGGAGTTGTATCATTTCACACCACCTGAGGACCTACCTAGCTCCTGATCTGAAAAAAGACATTTTGATTTAAAAATTATATCTGAGCTCTTCTAAAGTAAGAAATGGGAACAAAGTTTAGTGCAATCTATTTTCACATTTACCGAAATGTTAACCCTTTAAAATGCTTTCCTAGATTGTAAGACCTTTGGGGCAGGAACTGCATCTTTGTACATATTTATACAGCACTTTGGGGCCTCTGGTGTACTACTGTAATATCTATATGTAATCATAATGGAAGTGGACCATGATATTTTCTGTCATTTTGATTGTCTTTTTTGACCCTTGCCAAGTGGTCTTGTGAAATGTTAAATCTTTGCAAAACAAGGAAAATAAAAAGACTAATAAAAGAATCAGAAGTAGAAAGTAAAAAGTAACATAAAAAGATAAGTCAAGGTAGAGGAACCACTGTGAAAGTTTTTATGTCTTGCTGGTATATAGGTTACAGTTAACACCTTCTGTTCTTGATCATTGGAAAAAAGTAATGTCTGCTAGTAGCAATGATGTCCTGTTACATGACCTGCTTGATTGAGGGGTTTCTAAACTTTATGGCATAAACTTACTTCTCATGTGATGAGGTCATGTACATGAGCATACAAGACCCAAGAGTGTGAATTTATAGATGCTATTACCCAAACTATTGGGTAATTTCCCTTTCTAAGTACTTCATGACTTGCAATGGAATAAAATAGCACCTACTCTGTCAAAATTACAGCAAACTTAACTCTCCACCTTAGGTTTTAAAAAGTGAAAATAGAACTCTGTTGTTGATTTGATTCCTCAAGAGGGATGGAGTATATATGTACTTAAAAATTATCACAGCAGCCTCAGATCCTTAAGGCATTTTTAAAAGGTCAGAACTGTCATGTTTCTTGTGCTGTTTCCAGTATTATTATAGTGATTTCTCTTGTAGTGCTGCTATTGTTAATGGTCTGTTAGCATTTCCATTAGCAACCCCAGTTTTCATGCATTTATAACTTGTGCTCTTTAGCTTATTATGACTTGATTATTAATCTATTTTTTCCAACAAAAATCATTTATCATCTACATTAAAGCCTTTTTAATAATCGGAGTGACACAGATGTCTCACATACCTCTTTGCTTTGTTTAATATTCAAATCTAACTAAAAACCAAGCTTACTTTTTAGATGAAAATTTGCAGTTTGTTTTCTTCTATCTCCCCCTCAAAAACAAATACGTCTTCTAACTAGCTGTGATGTAGTTGAAAAGTAGCCATTGCCATATGCACTAGCTGCTTTTTTCACAGCTCTCTTTTACTGTTCTTATTACACATTATGGGCCAAAACTGTGACCCCCAGTGCTCCATGTGCACAGACCGCTGCGCCAGTGACTTTGATGGGAACACCCACAGGCACAGGGTGTGCCCATACCGATCAATTTGCAGGACAGAGAGCCTGTATTTTTAAAACAAGTGTACAAATCTAAGATTTAAGGAGGAAAAGGAATGTAGTCATTTCAAACAGATCTTTGGTTGAAACTTGGCATCTGGAAATTACAAACCCAGTTGGAATTTTTAATACAAGAAAATAATGATAATTGTTTAAGTGGTGAACAAGAAAAAAAGGGCTCTTGCAATTTCAAACAGTTTTATTTTGCCAAAATTTAACGGAAAATTAAATTTTACATGCTGCTGATCCTCAGTAGGTGTTAAGGGTTTGTTTTTTTTTAATGTCAGTTACAACTGGAAGTGACCAAGATATTTACACTTGAAAAACAACTACAGAATGGTTTATGCACAATAACTATTTCTCAAACTATCTTTTCAATTTTATATTCCTATTTTTTAATTTTAACTAAACAAAATCTTACTTAAATGAACGGAATGTCTATACCATTGATCAGTAATTCTTTATGTATAGCATATCACTGAATGTTATCTGTAGCAATGGTGTCTATAATATGTAGTATTGCATACAACAATATTGGGTACTTAGAATAATGTATTTGTGGCGGCACCAAGAGAGAAATAACATGCTGTCCTTGGACCAGTCACTCACACACACAAATAATGGATAAAAGAATTGAATTTTTAGAAAGAAGTGCACAGTTCTGTTGGAGAAGAACGTGGATAAACATTTATTCTTCTTCACTTAATGTACAGGTAGGTGCTCAACTTCAGGTGCGCTTACACTACATGTCTTTGATCACAGATTTTTGGTAGTAGTGCCTGTTGGACCCACTCATGTGCCCTATATATCCTCATGCCCTGCTCTGAGGCTGTATAGGGCTATGAGGTTGAACCGCCCTCAGTTCCTTCTCAATCACCTTGGCCTGAGACTGAGCATTAGTGTGCCTTTCTACTCAAAACCATGAACTACTCTAATTAGTCTGTCTTTCTTTCTTTCTTGTTTGTTTTAGAGGTGTCAGTCTAAATTCCTTCCCCCTTGGGGGTTGGGAACTTTCTCCTCAGATCACCATTGCGCTGGGGTATTCCGTGGCTCACTGGGCTTCAAACGGTGCCTCTCTTTCCAGGAAGCTATCCCGGTTACTGACAAGCACTCACCTTGCATCTGCTGCTTGGGGGAGTTTCATTGCTCCCCCAAAGTGCTCCATTTGCTCTGCTTTTAAAGGCAGGGCTAGGAAGAATTGAGAGATAAGACTCAGCCACTTGATGATGGAAGGCTCTCTCCGTCCAGCCTCAGGTCCAAGCCAGGATCCCCCCTGGACATTAGCATCGGAGTAAGCACAGGGCCTCTTCAACTTCAGCACATTCACCTGGATCTGCCCAAGGTAAATCTTTGGAGAAGTCCCATGAAAAGATAGCTCATTCTCCTCAGAAGGGGTCTACTTTAAAAAAGTCTCAGTGTCCTCCAAGTAAGTCCGTTTTGGAGACCCACTCTGGATACTACTGAGGCTCCAGGCACTGTCAGTACCCACCTCTTACCCAGGGCTCCAGGCTCTTCTAAGAATAGGGGCACCAAACATGCTTGACTACCGAGACCATCTGTGCTGCAGAAGCAGAACTCAGCAGCACAGGAATCTAAGCACTCCTCTTCTAAGAAGGCAGTACCTACAATGCCCTCAGTACTATCTGTACCTACCTTGACTTCCAAGACATCCTCAGTACCAGGTAAATGCCACGCCTCTCCTATGATCTCGACATTTCCTAAGACATCCTCATCGATACCAACTATATCTATTGTGACAAAGTTCCTCCTCTATCTTGGTGGGTCCTGCTCTTATTGGCGGATTTTCTTGCCTCAGAGATTCACCATGTGGGTTGGGGAACAGCCCAGAGATCTTCCCCTCTGGGAGAACCCACAGTCCAGGTCAATTGGGAGGTTTGGGGGGAACCCGGGCCCACCCTCTACTCCGGGTTCCAGCCCAGGGCCCTGTGGACTGCAGCTGTCTATAGTGCCTCCTGTAACAGCTGCATGACAGCTACAACTCCCTGGGCTACTTCCCCATGGCCTCCTCCAAACACCTTCCTTATTCTCACCACAGGACCTTCCTGCTGGTGTCTGATAACGCTTGTGCTCCTCAGTCCTCCAGCAGCAAACCCTCTCACTCTCAGCTCCTTGCGCCTCTTGCTCCCAGCTCCTCACACTCTCGCACTACAAACTGAAGTGAGCTCCTTTTTAAAACCCAGGTGCCCTGATTAGCCTGCCTTAATTGATTCTAGAAGCTTCTTCTTAATTGGCTCCAGGTGTCCTAATTAGCCTGCCTGCCTTAACTGGTTCTAGCAGGTTCCTGATTACTCTAGTGCAGCCCCTGCTCTGGTCACTCAGGGAACAGAAAACTACTCATCCAGTGATCAGTATATTTGCCCTCTACCAGACTCCAGTACCCCACTGGTCTGGGTCTGTCACACTACCAAAAGAGTGCAGATGGAGCAGTTTATGTCCTTGGTACTGACAGTGGAACATAGCCCCATACTTCAAACTTACCCGGTACTACAGGAATTCAGATATTCCAAAAATGTAATTTTTTTCAGATTAACCACAGTATCCCCTGCTAGTGGGTACTGAAAGATTATCTGTACTAACACAAGCACGCTCATCAAGACTGGACCTTTCCCCAATACCGTTTGACTCTCTCACATTTTTGGAGAGTGGTGGAGCTCCCCTGCTTGAGTTCCTTTCTCCTACCTTTGAGGAAAAGGAAGAGTTACATCAAAGACGAGCATATGCCCCCACAACCTGGTTCAAGCACAGTGATTCCACACCCCATGTCCTCTGGACTCCTTCAGTGGCCATATCGCCAACAGTTTTGGGGAGCACCTATAATGTCTTGTTTGGGGGGCTACAAAAGAAGAAATCCTTCTACCCTATCTATCTCTCCTCACCTTCCTCAGGTTCAAGAATCCTTTGAGGAGCAGGAGGCCAGAGCAGATAAGGAGGCTACCCCACAGACAAATATTTCTTTTTCTTCCCCAGATGAGATGGTTATGCCTCCCCCACCTTCTATAGCTGATGATTAATGAGATTTTCAGGGGTTAATTAAACATTTTGTAGACTCTTTACAGATCCCCTTGAAGAAAATCAAAGAATCACAGCATAAACTTCTGGATATCCTTCAATGGACTCCTTCTGCCCATGTTGCCCTGCCCATCAATGAGGCACTACTCGATCCTGACAAGACCCTGTGGCAGAGCCCATCAACATATAAAAGGACTAATAAAAATATGTCCCAGCTAAGGACTCTGACGTTTTTTCCCACCCATTCTGCATCCAACTCCCTGATTGTGGAGGCAGTGAATGAATGTGACAAGAAACACCATACTAAAGCCACTCCATACAATAAGGATCAAAAATATCTTGATTATTTGGCCATAAGACTTACTTCTTATCCTTTTCAATGGCCCAGATAGTCAGGTCTGGACTCAACCCCAGATGGCCAGGTTTTAAGTTTACTTGTGATGTACTGCAGTGAGGTAACTCTGTGTAGAGTGCCTACATACAAAACAGGAAGTAAAAGTCAAAGTTTGATGCTGTATGCTCAAAGTAATACACATGTATTTATTTGTTGAACAATATTGCAAATTATTTGCACTGGTGCTTCTTTCAAATGGATGTCCGACCATTCATGTCAAATAACTGTATGTGCCTGTAGCTGAAAGAGCTGTCATTCAGCACAGGTGAGAGTGTCCTCATCCATATACACATACCTGAATATATGTGAATAATTTCACATTCAGATAACCACAGGTGAATACATTTTGTTGATCATTAGCCTAGCCTCCAATATAGAGCTTTTAGGGCATTTGGAAGGTTTTATTTCTAGAGGGTGTAATCAAAGATAGTATTGCTTCCACCAGATTGACCCATATTTTTTGATATAACATAGCCAGCTCAGGACTGGGGAAGTGCATAGGCTTCTCAGCTAGGGTCACGGACCTGGGCTAAAAATTTTAACCTGACAGAATCACTTTAAACTTACAGCAGTGTGAGCACAGCCTTACAGTTCTTTTGAATTTTATTTAATACCCTAAAATTATTTCAATCTCCCCCACCCCATTTATTTATAACATAATTTTTAGTTAGGGAGCAGATATTCAACAATGTTATGTTATACATAGCACCCTGAACTAAACTTTACAAAAATGCAGTCTGAAAACATTCACTATTAGATATTATAGCATACTTTTAAAAAATGATTTAGGCCTTTATTTTATTGTTTGAGATAGTAGAATGGTAATTTGTAAATATGAGTACTATATGCTAGAGTTATGCAGAGTATTCACAGTAAAAGCTGAAGCCACGTCAGACTCTTCTGATTTCAGGTTTTTCATTTAAAAATCAGACTGTTTACTCCAAAAGATTCAAAACCCTTTCAAATTACACTAAATTTATTTTGAATGAACTTGGGTCCACTTTCAGGTAGAATTAGGCTGCTTTATAGTTTTGCATTTGAAATCATGTGACATTTTTGAATTTGCCTGGTTTTGACACAAAAATAGGTGAAATTTCATAGTGAGATCTAAGTTTTGCTTTGGGCTATTGGGTTCATTTAACTCAAACCAGAAACTCAAAGCTAACTTAGTTGTTGAATAAGATTATCTCTGTTTCCACTAACTCCTGGAAAGTGAAACAAATGATTTTTACAGCCCTCTATCTGCTACTATACACCAACACTAAAAAAATGCAGTGAAGACAGGACTTACTCATGTACTATAAAAAAGATGTTAGATGAGTAAATGCACAGTATCTAATATGGTTCAGATAAATTCACTTCATTTAAGAGCAATATCCTGAGATCACACAGAGGTAGCATGGTATGAAAATAAAAATCCATTAAATAAAATTAGATAGGCAGAGGAACAAAGCTAAAGAAGAACCAGAGACTGATAATGAACCAAACCTGATAAAGAGAAGCAATCTGGAGATCTGATCTGAGATATAAGAGAGTGCCTTATGATTTCAGAAGTGAAGAACAAGGCCAGAGTAACAAGAAGGTGCCTGCTGTTTTTTATTTAAACCAACATCCTGCATCAAACCTGGAACACGTATTTCTATAGGTCTACGTTGCTACTGGTCAGTTACGTAAATTAACAAACTGGAATCGTCTGCCTTGAAGGCCTTGGTAAACTTATGGTAACATAGTTACTCTTTTTATTGCACACTCATGCACACAAGTACAGTGGGGGGAAAATGTATTATTGCTGTGATAAATGTAACATCCCGTAGAACATTTACAATGCTGAACTTTCAATTTCAGAGGGAAGGTTGCATTTTTTGTGGTCTTTGCCATATATGGGACAGATGCTCAGCTGATTTGAATTGACATAGCTTCATTGAAGTTAATGGAACTATGCCAGTTTACACCAGATGAAGATCTGGCATGTATCCTGTCGTTATTTATAGCAAGACATTTAATTTTTCACTCTAATGTGGTTAATTTGTAAGACTTATTTCCATTATTTCCCTCTCTTTATAACTAATACAGACAACTGGTCTGACTGGTCTGAGTGGTCTGATTGTGATTCATCTGGAGTCCAGTTCCGCGTTCGTCAGTGTATCATTCTATTTCCTGTGGGCAACCAGTGTTCTGGGAACAGCACTGAGAGTCGAGCTTGTATTTTTGATTCTAACTTCATACCAGGTAAGATCATTTACTTTTAAAGTATAAGTGAAATCATTCACAACAACTCTGCTGCACAGTGCAGAAGGGAGCCAAATCACAGAAGCTATGGAAACTGCCTTGGAGGAGGTATCCCGATGCAAAAGACAGCTTTGTAGTATGCTTCTCATTCCACCACTTCTTCACTATATTTGAGAGTAATGTAGCCGTCCCAAAGTCATTTCAGGGTACATCTACACTTACCGGAGGGTCCGGCGGCAGGCAATCGATGTTCTGGGATCGACTTATCGCGTCTAGTGAAGACGCGATAAAATCGATCCCTGATCGCTCTGCCGTCGACTCCGGAAATCCACCGCGGCAAGAGGCGGCAGCGGAGTCGATGGCAGCGCGGCAGCAGTCGACTTTCCCCCGTCCTCACAGCCAGGTAAGTCGACCTAAAATACGCAACTTCAGCTACGGTATTCACGTAGCTGAAGTTGCGTATCTTAGGTCGACCCCCCGCTGTAGTGTAGACCTAGCCTCAGTAAACTTCACTACACTTTGTCCCCATTCATGCGTTACTGACCTGATCAAGTCCCTTTCAAAGTGGTTTCAGATTTACAAGAATATTGCAGTTCTTGGAGCACAATAGGCATGGCCAGCCCCAGGCATATGCAGAGTGTCCCACCAGACAAAGCCTCTTGCTTTTATACTGCCCACTTTTTTGGCAATTGTTTCCCAGAATGCACACCTGGCACCTTCTAACTTGAAAGATGGATTGTGATGGACCAAATTATAGGGCTATCAGCCTTACATCAATCCCAGGCAAGATGATGGACCAACTGATACAGAACTTAAAGGAGGGTAATATGCCAAACAGCACGGGTTTATAGATCCTGTCAAACTAAATTGATATTTTAATGAAATTACAAATTTAGTTAATAAAGGTAATAGTGTTGATGTAATATACTTAGACTTCTGTATATTTCACTTAGTACTGCACAACATTTTGATTAAAAAACTAGAACGATCGAAAATTAATATTGCATACATTAAATTTATCAGTGATCTGGAAGAAAACCTAAAATCATCACTATGACAAAATGATTAAGGGAGTGGTAAATAATGAAGAGGACAGGTCACTGATACAAAGTGATCTGGATTGCTTGGTAAGCTGGGCAAAAACAAACGTTATACATTTTAGTATGGCCACATGTAAAGTTATACATGTAGGAACAAAGAACATAGATCATACTGATAAGATTGGGGATAGTATCCTGGGAAGCAGTGACTCTGAAAAAGATTTGGGGGTTGTGGTGAATAATCAGCTGAACATGAGCTCCTAGTGTGACGTTGTGGCCATAAAATGCCTAAACAGGGGAAACTCAGGTAGGAGTAGGAAGGTTATATTACCTCTGTATTTGGCATGGGTGCAAACCATGGCTGGAATACAGTGTCCAGTTCTGGTGTCCACAATTCAAGAGGGTTGTTGATGAACTGGAGAGGGTTCAGAGAAGAACCACAAGAATGATTAAAGATAGGAAAATATGCCTCAAGGAGCTCAGTGTGTATAGCTTAACTTGGAGAAGGATAAAGATAACTTGATCCAATCTATATGTACCTACAAGTGGAACAAAAAAATTATAATAAAGAGCTTTTCAGTCTAGCAGAAAAAGGTATAACAAGATCCAACGGCTGGAAATTAAAACCAAATAAATTCAGACAGGGAATAAATTTTTAACAGGGAAGGTAATTAGCCATTGGAACAATTTACTGTGGGCTGTGGTGGATTCTCCATTTGATGGGAATTTTAAAATCAAGATTGGATGTTTTTCTAAAATTGCTGCTCTAGTTCAAACAGGAATTAATTCAGGGAATTTCTATCTTATGCAGGAGGTCAGATTAGACGATCACAGTGATCCCTTCTGGCCTTAAAATCTATGAATCTATGAAACCCTCCAAATAGCAGAAATGTACCATGTCCCCACGCGTGCCTAACATTGTAAGTAACAACAATGTCACAAACTGAAGAAAACCTTTTGAACCATCCTGGGCAACAACCCTGACAACCTTCACCAGATGATAAAGCTTTCCTGTATACTCAATGAACAATGACACCAAATTTTACACAGATTTTGTTCACCATATGTTCACACCTCCCTGGTATTGCTACTACCAGACTAATATGAAAAAGGAGCATATTCGAGGAGAGTGGATGTTGCCTTAATGGACATCCTGGCCTTCATAAACTCTTATGTAAAATTCCTATGGTATTTAATAAGGGTGAAACCAATGGGGTTCTGTAGAAATTAAATAAAATTCTATCCATATTATTCTGCAAACCCGAGAGAATTTAATAGGAAGCTACATCCTAAAATTCTTAAAGTAAGCTTTAGGGTGAGATTCACTAGAGACCTGCTCCTGCTCCCATTTAAGTTAATGAGAAAACTCCAGTTGACTATAATGGAGCAGGATCAGGCCTCAGGTGCAGGAAAGAATGGATGAAAGAGTTGTTTTTAAGCCATCTTTACCCCTTCCAAATTCTGAGCCCTAGGACTGCTTTAAGTTTCAGAATTTTATTGTTCTCTGGTAAATTCTATGAGCCCTATGGCTTGGTCTACATTACCAACTTATGTCTGTATAACTGCGTCGCTCAGGGGCGTGGCTTTTCCACACCCCTGATTGACATAGTTATACCAACATAACCCCCAGTGTAGACAGTGCTGTGTCGACAGGAGAGCTTCTCCCGTTGACATAGCTACCACCCCTCGGGGAGGTGGAATACCTATGCTGACAGGATAATCTCTCCCATCGGTGTAGGTAGCGTCTTCACTAAGCACTACAGTGGCGCACTAAGGGCTTGTCTACACTGGCAAGTTTTGTCAATGAAACTAATGTCAACAAGGAAAAATCGACAAAAGCAAAGTCGCCAAAGCGTGTCTACATTTGCTCCCTCTGTCGACAGATTGTGTCCACATTCGGGGCACCATTGTTGACAGCGAGAGCAATGGACTGTAGGTATGAATCCCACAGTGCCTAGCGACACCATCCATTTTTAGGTGTTGTGGGAATGTAGAAATGGAGCACGGCGCATCCTGGGACATGCAAAATGTACCATCATGCACCGCTTTGTGTCCCAGCCTCCAATGGTTTCTGGCTTCCTTTTGCGCCGTTTTTCCAACTGTCAGTCTTTTGTAGTGCACACCAGCATCTGCAGTGAGAGAGGATGGATCCCCCACTTCTCTTTTATGTGCTGTTAACTGTCGTGAGGACATCGCGCATGGCAGCACAGTTACTCGCAGAGTTACTAGCAAAGTTACTGACAGAGGATGAATCACAGGCACCCAAATGTGATATGGACAGCAGCTACTTATCAGTACTTTGTGCACTCGCAGAGCAGCTGCATATGGTAGACCATCACTTTTGGGCTAGGGAAACAAGCACTGATTGGTGGGATCGCATTGTCATGCAGGTGTGGGATGACGACTGGTGAGTACAGAACTTTAAGATGCGTAAAGCAACCTTCATGGAGCTATGTGCTGAGCTGGCCCCTGACCTGCGGCGCAAGGACACCAGATTGAGAGCTGCCCTTTCGGTAGAGAAGTGCGTTGCAATCGCTGTGTGGAAGCTGGCGAATCCAGACTGCTACCAGTCAGCTGCAAATCAATTTGAAGTCCCCTGTTGGGGCTGTATTACTCCAAGTGTGCAGGGCAATAAATCACATCCTGCTGCGGAGGACCGTGACTCTGGGAAATGTGCATGAAATAGTGGATGGCTTTGCAGAGATGGGTTTCTCTAACTGCAGCGGGGTGATTGATGGCACACACATTCCAATTTTAGCGCCAGACCACCTTGCCTCTGAATACATCAGTAGGAAGGATGCTTCTCCATGGTGTTGCAGGCGCTTGTGGATCACCAGGGGCGTTTCATGGACATCAATGCAGGCTGGTCTTGAAAGGTGCATGACGCACGCATCTTCAGGAACAGTGGCCTATACAGAAAGGTGCAGGCGGGGACTTTCTTTCCAGATCACAAGATCACAGTGGGGGATGTGGAAATGCCCAGAGTAATCCTGGGAGACCCGGCTTATCTCCTACAGCCCTGGCTCATGAAACCTTACACAGGGCACCTGGACTGCAGCAAGGAGTGTTTTAACAACAGGCTGAGAGGTGCTGTATGGTAGTCGAATGTGCCTTTGGCCGTTTGAAAGGTCGCTGGAGGTGTCTCAGTGGCAGGCTAGACCTTACCGAAGATAATATTCCCGTGGTCATAGGCGTGTGCTGCACTTTGCATAATCTGTGTGAATCTGAGGTGAAATGTTTGCTTAGTGTGGAGCACTGAGGCAGAGCGCTTGGCTGCACAGTTTGAACAGCCAGATGCTAGGGCTGTCAGAGGAGCCCAGGGGGCTGCTATTAACATCAGAGAGGCTTTGAGGAACCACTTTGACAATGAGGGGCAGTAACACATGTCTGCTTTGGAATTGCTTCCCTGGTGCATCCATGTACAATTTTCGGGCCCAAGCTCCATGTAACAAAATGCTTTAGAAGCCTGTTCCCAAGAGTGAACTGATTGCTATACGCTTTTGTAGAACACAGAATAAAAATCCTGTACCATTAAATACCTTAGCCTTTATTTATTGGTAAAAAGGGTAAAACCTCACAACTGTGTGTAGCTCCAGCTATCATTGTGCAAGCTGTGAGGGGGGTGGAGTGATGGGAAAACTCAGGAGTGCTGTGAAGTGAAAAGGAATGTCTGGGCATGAGGGGGGAGGTGGGGGTTAGCAAAGAATTGTACATGTGCATGTGCTGCAGTGGAGGTCGACCACGGATCTGCTCAGTCTGCAGCTGTATCAAAGACTTGAGCATCTCTGTCTGATCCTCCATAACTTTTATCATCCGCTCTGTCGCTTGCCTAGCAAATGCAGCATTCTCTTTTCTGTCCTGCCTTTCAGCTTCCCAGCACTCTTTCCATTCCCTGGTCTGTCTCTCATCACGCTGCAGCACCTCCCGGAACATGTCTTCTTTGCTGCGCCTAGGGCAGGG